GGCTTATATTATTATTCCTTTAAGTATCAGATACCTAAATATCCAACTACAGGTAGTCCTCAACTTACAACAATTTCATCAGAGACTGTTTGAAGTTACAACAGCAGTGAAAAAAGTGACTTATGACTATTTTTCCACACATGACCGTTGCAGCATCCCCATGGTCACGTGATTTACATTCGGATGCTCGACAACTGGTTCATATTTATGATGGCGGCAGTATCCCGGGGACATGTGATCACCTTCTGACAAGGTGGGGAATCCAGATTCACTTAATAACCGTGTTAGTAATTTAACAACTGTAATGATTCACTTAACAAATGTAGCAAGAAAAGTCATAAAATGAGGCAAAACTCCCTTAACAAATTTCTCACTTAGCAACATAAATTCTGGGCTCAATTGTGGTTGTAAGTCAAGGACTACCAATATTACTTTAAAAAAGAAGAAAAAGAATATTGTACTTGCAAGTAGCAGAGCAATATCTTTCTTATGTTACAATTTCTAGCTATTCTTGAGCGTCACTTGAGTGGGGGGATACCATCATGGGCAGGACAATTATATACTCTAAAGCCAGATAATAGAAATGATCAACTATATCCAACAAAAATAGAGTTGTTGCTAGTAAAAAGGCTAACAAAAATGAAAACAGTATCAATAAAATTCAATAGTCCAGTCTTATATTAATGCCAAGCTCTAAGTATGCCCTTGCAGCAAGATCTCACATGCCTGTACTTAATAATGGCATAAAATTTGCAATTCAAATTCAAACATAAAATTAGCTTGTAGTGAAATTCACCATAAAAATTAAATCACTGCTTTGAAGACAAAGGTTCAGTGAATTTGAGGCATGTAAAGTTCCCTAAGCAAAGGCATATGCGTTTCTTCTCAGATTATTTATCTACCTGCAATATTGTTTCCATGTCAAAGACCCCAGTCTGGGAACATGGAAAACACATCCTGTATTATACACTGAATTGTCACTCTGCATCTTCTAAAGCTGGAGCTGCAACTCAGAGAACAAGCAGTCAGGGTAGCTAATAGCAGGCTTCCCTAATTCAGTATAATATTGTATTTATAGTTACAAAGCTTTCTTAAATAAGATGCAGTAACAACTCTGAACAGAGAATACAAATGCCACTGCCTCATCATTTACTGTGTTTATCTTCATTTACAGTACAGTGGTACCTCGGTACTCATCATTAATTGGTTCCAGGAGGTAGGATGAGTACCAAAAATAATGGGTACCAAACAAGTTTTTCCCATAAGGAATAATGTGGTGCGTCACAAGGCAGTTGACACCAACAAGCTCTAGCTTGTGCCTTGAGTACCAAACAAATGATGAGTATCGGGACAAAATTTTCATGTCAAAATGCACTGAGTACCAAATTTGATGAGATTCAAAGCAGTTAAGTACCAAGGTACCGCTGTATAACAAGTACAGTTATTCAACTGTTCAACTGATCCTTGTCTATAAGCATTTTACAATTACATGAATTATCAGCATATCCACCATGTTCTTCTGAACAACCATTTGAATTCCTTGTCATTTAATGGATAGATGCAATTCTCTTTACAAAAATATGGGAGTACTTTGCCTCTGTCTTTTGGGCTTTTTTATACAATTCAATCTATTTTATAGTGCTGGGATTTCCTAATGGTCCCCTATCCAAATACTAGCCAGGGCAATTCTGCTTTAGCATTTTAGGATAGTCTTCCCTTACCTTTCCGGGATGTTGGCCCAGTGCAAGGGGGAGGGGGAAAAGAGGGGATGATTTTGTGTGAGGGGCAGGTGCGCACACGTGCACAGGTTCATTTGTGTGACCAGCAGGCACATACGTCTGCTGCTTGTGCGAGTGGAGCTGTGAGTGCCAGCACCCGCCACTCATGTGAATCAGACTACAGGTGCATGCTGGCACGCCACTCATGCGGCCTGGTTAGAAATATGCCACGGAGTGACCCTCAGATTGAGGACCCTTGTTCTAGGATATAAAAGGTTGGATAAGTTAGTCTATTTTACCAGTTTCATATTCCTCAGAGAGGAAAATTGAAATTATGCAATGTAGGGACTTCCCTATCCTTTTATTACAGAATTTAACTTTGATTCTTGTCTTTATAGTATAAGTTATAAAGCCAGGTTATATAGTGGGTTTTTGATGAACTAGCCCAGGGGTAGGCAATCTTGGCTCTTTTATGACTCGTGGACTTCAACTCCCAGAATTCTGGAGCCGGCATGACTGGCTCAGGAATTCTGGGAGTTGAGGTAAAAGAGCCGAGGTTGCCTACCCCTGAACTAGCCTGTACCTTGTCTGTGGGAATTCTCAGTCATCCAGGACAGAGTTGTCTCAAAGATGCTTTTTCAAAATGCAAATTGGATTTTTTTTTCCTTGAGGAAGACATTTTGCTTTTGATCCAAGAAGCTTCATCATTTCTGGCAGGATGGGGGCGGCGGTGATGGAAGGGTTAGTTCTGAAAGGATGGGGGTGGTGGTGGAAGGATGATTTGCTAACTACCAGTTGACTGCAAAGAAATATCATCCTTCTTACCCCACCCATCTTGTCAGAATTAATCCTTCCATCACCCCCACCATCTTGCCAGAACCAATAAAGCTTCTTGGATCAGAAGTGGTTTTCCTCAAGGAAAAAACAGTCCAGCTGACTTTTGAAAAAAACATCTTTGAGATAACCTGTACCTTCTAAAACAAATTAGAATAGTCTCCCATTTTTCTATTGCATTTAGTTTTTGACTTTACACTTAGTTAGGAAACTATTTTCACTATCTTTTAAAAAGTACCTTTCCTGTTTTTTCAAAGCAGTCTTTAAAAATTCAGTGGCCATATTGTATAAAAAACTGATTAAAAAAAAAACTGTTCTAAGGTAGGCTGGTGAGTATCACAATTCAGGCTGCAGGTTCCAGATGAACTTTGACATAACTTTATTAATCTAGAAACATTAGTAAAGCAAACTGATGCTCACAGATCCATCCAATAGAAAGCATAAATCAAAACTGGTGTACTTTTGAAAAGATTCTGTTACTTGAAATGCTTTCTAAGCTACCTATTTATATCTCCCTAAGTTATGACTGTAGGTGGTAGATGCAATATCCAAAATAAAAACTGAAAATATTGATAATATCCAACAATAATGACATCATTTAATCCCCACCATTCTCCCCTAAGGCTCAAAGGCCTGAATCATTTCACTAGAAAAAATAAAAATTGAAACTTTTCAAAACATAGTAATAGTGATTTTTTCCCTTCCTAATTGCACTCATAAGCAATATTTCATATGTTGCAAGCAATGGACAAAGAAGTCTTTTCAGCATGAAAAAGTAGATTCCAAGGCCACTTTACAGAACTCTGCCAGACAAACCCTGTATATAGAACATGGAACATAAAATAGGAAGAAACCTTGGAGGTCTTCTAGTCCAACCCAGTGCTCAAATAGGAGACCCTATATCCTTCTGGACAAATGGCTGTCCAGTCTCTTCTTGAAAACTTCCAGTGATGGAGCATTCACAATTTCTGGAAGTCAGAAGCCCTTCCACTGATTACCTCTGAAAATTGTGGATGCTCCATCATTGGCATTTTCAAGAAGAGACTGGACAGACGTGTTCAGAATGATATGGATAGTCTCAGCTTATCACTGGTTGCTTCAAATTGCTTTACTATGGACAAAAGCTACTTATAATACAATTCCAAAGTTATGATGGCCAAACACACAAATACACACAGAGTCATGTAATAGCTTTTTGAATGCTTGGCAACCGGCTCAGGTTTAAAGCTGTTTGTAATGAACTGCAGTCATATGACTATGATTTTTTACTTTTTTTGCCAATTTCCAGCAAAAAATGTACATTGGGTAAAATGGATTTTCTTAATAATACAGCATTTGCTTAACGACTATAACAAAAAAATGTTATGCCAGCTCTAGTCATATCATGACTTCCTAAACTACGATTTATGACAATAATTTCAGTCATAATTTCAATAGAAAATTAGAAGTCCAAAACAACTTGTTCAATGTGAAGATAAATAATTCATTTATGCACACATCAGTGTAAACACATGACAACACAGGAACACAGAGTGCTGTACAGATGCCAAGATCTATGCAGCAGAAAAAATCTGATTGTTTAAAATTCATATATCAAAACAATCTGAAAGAGGTATTGAGAAACAATATATGGGGAGCAATATAATGTAATACAATATACATACATACACACACACAAACACACACACACATATACACAGCACTCTGAGGGGCACGTTGCAAAGAATGTGTAGGCTGATGGAGATACCATCAGCACCAGAAGTAGATGGATGGAGGAACTGAAGTAGATGGAAGGAGGAACCGAAAGCTCTGTCTGAAAAAAGAATTAAATATACACAAGGGCAGAGAGGACAGAGAGATCTGGATGCAACACATTCTGTGGATGAATAACCCTAAGATAAAAGAATGACAAGATTGATTACTCAATGTGAATGGCAGCACATTTGGGTAACACAGATATGGATTATTAGACAATAGTGATTCTGAAGTGCAGATCTCTGCAAGAGGCTATTGGCCAGTCTCTCTGCAGCATTTAAAGACTAGCTGCAGGCGGGGATGGATGAAAACAGGCATGAGTCAGAATGAGGCTGAATCAATGGGGCTTGCAACACAGAGGCATTTGCCCAGGCATAACATTTTGATATATGGAGGAATAAGAGGAACTATTCCATTAGGCAACTGAGCTACAAAATGTGTGTGTGTGTGCGCGTGTGTGTGCGCGCGCGCAATTCATACAGGGGCCAAGCAGATGGGCTTGCAGAAAACAAGGGAAGGATAGGTCCACGCTTTCTGCAAAGCAAACCAGAAGGCTTCTGGGAAATAACTGGTCACCAGGATCCCAAAGAAGAAGGGGGGGACGGGAACTGGGGTTGAGTATTAGAGTGAAAAAAGCAGGAATCTCTCTGAGTTAAGGCGGGGTCTCCTCCATCCTCTCCCCCCCCCCATCACCTCTTGACGCGGATGATCTGGTCGCGCATGGGGCGGATGTCCTGGAAGCTCTGCTGGTTGACAAGGCTGTAGACCAGGATGAAGCCCTGCCCATTCTTGATGTACAGATCCCGCATGGAGGCGAACTGCTCGGTGCCGGCTGTGTCGAGGATCTCCAGCACCGACGGGGAGGCGTCCACCTCGATCTCCTTGCGGTAGAAGTCTTCGATGGTGGGGTCGTACTTCTCGATGAACGTGCCGGTCACGAACTGCACGGTGAGCGCCGATTTCCCCACCCCGCCCGAGCCCAGCACCACCACCTTGTACTCCCGCATCCTCTTCCCACGCCAGACGCTGTCGGCCGCCGCTCATCCGCCGCCTCGGGCGTCACCCGGCTGCGGCCGCCGCCGCCCCCGTCGCCACAGTCTCTACCGCCGCCGCCGCCGCCATCGCTTAAAGCAGGAGGGAAAAGGCGCGGAAGGGAATCAAAGGAGGGAGCGCGTCAACCGCCGCTGGCCGAAGGCGATGCTCGCCGCTGGCCGGAGCCGCCTTCGGGGACCACAACGAGCGCGGCGGCAGCGGTTGCTCTGCTGCTGGCGCTATCAGGAGGCAGAACTTCCCGCCCCCACATTGCTCGTAACCGAGGGAACGACCAACCGGAGAGAAGCTGGGCGTTCCGTCACGTGGTCGGAACGAATTCGTCTTCACCAATCGCCGCTGCCGAAGAAATTGAGCGACATACGCTCACTCTCCCTTCCTTTCTTCTCTCTCTCTCTCTCTCTCGCTTTCTCCTCATCCTCTCCACCCTTCTGCCCCGTGACAGAGCCGCTCTTTCTCCCTGTAGCCTAGGAAACAGCGGCCCGCCTTTTCTCCTCCATATGCCAGGGCAAGTTTCAAGGCACGTCGCTTCGAAGGCCTTCTGTCGAGAAAGGGCATTTCCCCTCACAGGCATAGCTGAGGGAGCCAATCAGTCGGCGAGAGACGGCGGCAGCGGGTGCTGGTTGCTGGTGCTGCTGCTGCCGGACGCGCGGGGGCGGGACGGCACGATAGGGATTCGCTCCCTTTCTCCTGGTTATTAAAATGTCACGCTCGGGAATGGGAGAGACCGGTGTTTCGACTCACTGGGGAAAACAGAAAGCTTTCTTAAGAGTGGGGCCTTCTTGCCCCAATGTTATTGGTTTAATAATTAAGGTTTAAGAAGAGACTGAACAATTATTTGTTTGAAATGGTAGAGGGTTTCCTGCCCGAGCAGGGGGTAGGACTAGACGTCCTCCAAGGTCCCTTTCAACTCTGCTATTCTATTCTATTCTATTCTAACATTTATAAGGTGACCAACTTTTTTACAATGAAAAGGGGGATACAAATAAATTGAAGAAAAAAATATTGTAAATAAAAGAAACATTTTATTCATTGCAACAATAATACAGAACACACTATAATATGATAAATGCATAATAAAAAACATTTGTAACAATAACATTTTATATTGTAATTATGCTTACATGCTGCACCCCCACCCGCAGCAACCCCATCAACACTGCTGCCCTGCAGTGTAGAGCAGGCCCCGCGACTCCTAAAGCACCAGCTGTGCCAGCTCCGGCATGGGGGGGGGCAGTCCGCTATCAACACACCCCCACCTGCAGCTGCCTTGCCAGCAGTACCACCCACCCTGCACAGCCCTGTGTAGAGCAGGCCCTATGGTTCCCACAGTGGGGGGGGGCAGCTGGCCACTGCCGCCCTTCACACCCCTGCCTGCAGCAGCCTTGCTGACCTTGCCTCTTGTGCCCGCAGCCATTATTGCCCTAGCAGGGCCGAAGATCAATAGAAAGTTACCATGGCATCACTGCTCCAGTCTCCTCCAGGTATCTTCGGGACTAACTAGGAGATGGTGTAGTTGGGTAGCAGGGAGGGGTGTAAAGTTCCTGCCAATTTGCCTTTGCTGCAGACAACTTACATGTGCAAAGTTTGCCGGCTGGGTGTTTTGGTGCACTCAGAAGCAATTCCTATTGGCTTTCGAAAGCCAATATGGGGAGTAGCACAGCTCATGCAAAAATTGAAAAAAAACCATCAAAAAGGTGCCACAACACCATTCTTAGCATTCTATGAGGAAAAAAAAAAACCTTGCAGATTAGTCTTCAAATATAGAAAAGGAGAACATGTAGGAGGACACTTTTTGAGGGAGGACAGAACTTACAAAAGGAGGACTGTCCTCCCTAAAGGAGGATGGTTGGTCACCTTAATTATTATGAAGATGCTCTTCAACATCTTCATCAACGATTTGGACGAGGGGATAGATAGGGAAATCATCAAATTTGCAGACGTCACCAAGCTGGCAGGAATAGCCAACACTCCAGAAGACAGGCTTAGGATACAGGAGGATCTGGACAGACTTGAACACTGGGCGCTATCTAACAAAATGAAATTCAGTGGTGAAAAAAGTAAGATTCTACATTTAGACAAGAAAAACCAAATGTACAGGTATAGTTTAGGGGGTACCTTGCTCAATAGTAGTAACTGTGAGAGGGATCTCGGAGTCCTAGTGGACAATCACTTAAATATGAGCCAGCAGTGTGCTGCAGCTGCCAAAAAGGCCAACACAGTGCTGGGCTGCATTAACAGGGATAGAATCAAGATTACGTGAAGTATTAATACCACTTTACAATGCCTTGGTAAGGCCACACTTGGAATACTGCATCCAGTTTTGGTCACCGCGATGTAAAAAAGATGTTGAGACTCTAAAAAGATTACAGAGAAGAGCAACAAAGATGATTAGGGGACTGGAGGATAAAGCATATAAGGAAAGGCTGCTGGAATTGGGTATGTCTAGTTTAATGAAGAGAAGGACGAGGAAGGACATGATAGCAATATTCCAATATCTCAGGGGCTGCCACAAAGAAGAGGGAGTCAAGCTATTTTCCAAGGCACCTGAAGGACAAGAAGCAAGGGATGGAAACTAATCAAGGAGAGAAGCAACTTAGAACTAAGAAGAAGCTTCCTGACAGTTAGAACAATTAACCAGTGGAACAACCTGCCTCCAGAAGCGGTGAATGCTCTAACCCTCGAAGTTTTTAAGAAGAGACTGGACAGCCATTTGTCTGAAATGGTATAGGGTTTCCTGCCTGAGCAGGGGGTTGGACTAGATGATCTCCAAGGTTCCTTCTAACTTTATTATTATTATTATTATTATTATTATTATTATTATTATTATTATTATTATAATATTATTATTATTATTATTATTATTATTATTAAAGTAATGCAACTGCAGCACCTCTCAGGCCCTTATCTGGAGCTGGTTTGCAGTAATGAGGGTTGTAGTCAAACCTCTGCAAAATACAGCTCTTTAAGAATTAAGGAAACAGAATTTCATTTTTAATGTGGGCCAGTATGCTCACAGTAAAAAATGACAATAAAGTTTATCTTATCTTAAGAAGCTCTGGCAATGTGTTGCCGATTTTGAAGAGCAGCATACGGTCAAGGTAATTTGATTGGAGCTGATTTTGGAAAAGTAGGCAAGAGGGACTTTTTATTTATTAATCAAATTTATATGGCTACCCATCTCACTGGAAAGTACAGATAGTCCTTGATTTACAACGGTTCATTTAGTGACTGAAGTTATAATGGCATTGAAAAAAGTGACTTGGGACTGTTTTTCACACCAATGACCATAGTCACGTGATTTAGATTTGGATGCTTGACAACTGATTCACATTTATGACGGTTGCAGGGTGGTGGGTCATGTGATCATCTTTTGCAACCACGTGACAAGCAAAGGCAATGAGGAAACCAGATTCACTTAATGACCGTGTTACTAATTTAACAACTGCAGTGATTCAGCTAACAAACGTGACAAGAAAAGTTGTAAAATGGGGCAAAACTCATTTAACAAATTTCTCCACACTGCAACATAAATTTTGGGCTCAATTGTGGCCATAAGTCAAGGACAACCTATACTTGAATGGGAGAGCACCAAGATTTCCCAGGTCTGTGAAATCAACTGGGGAGTTGAAAAAGAAGGCAAGGGATGATTGCTAGAGAAAACTGTCAAATATATTGGGATCTTGGTTTGCTAAATTTGATTCTCTTGCATAGGTGCAATTGTGTGGCTATGTGATCTAACAGTATGAGTTGATTAAGCTGCCAACAGGGGCAACTATGGCCCAACCTACCAAAAACATAACTGTACATGACAGGCTAGAAATAAAAATTAAAATAAGCAAGAAAATAGTAAGAGAACTCTTGTCTGACTTGAACATAAATCACTGGGACCTAATGGATTATACCCCAGAGTTCTGAAGGAACTGGCAGATGTTATCTCAGAACCATTGTACCATATCTTTAAAAAACCCTGGAGCATCAGGGAACTACCAGAGGATTGGAAAAGAGCTGATACGGTTCCCATCTTCAAAAAAGGAGAAAAAAAAAAAACCAGACCCAGGAAACTACAGACCAATCAGCCAAACATCAATACCTGGGAAGATATTGGAAAAAATAATAAAAAACAGATCTGTGAACATCTAGAAAGAAATAAAGTATAACTAGTAGCCAGTATGGGTTTGTTAAAAACAGATCATGCCAAACCAATCTTATTTTATTCTTTAACAAAGTGACTAAATTAGTAGACCAGCAAAGTGCTGTGGGCATAGTGTATTTGTACTTTAGCAAGACATTGGACAAAGAGCACAACCTACTTCTTGGTAAACTAGAAAAATGTGGGATAGACAGTCACAGCATCACTACCAAATGGATTTGTAACTGGCTGACAAACTGTACTCAACGAGTAGTCCTTATTGGTACTACATCTACGTGAAGGGAAGTGAGCATTGGGGTAACACAAAGTCCCATCTTAGGCCCAGTACTCTTCAATATCTTCATAAATAACTTAGATGAGGAAATAGAAGGGGAACTCATCAAATTTGCGGATGACATTAAGCTGGCAGGAATAGCCAAAACCCCAGAAGACTAGCTCAGGATCCAAAAAGATCTTGACAGACCTGAACAATGGGGCCTATCCAACAACATGAAATTTAATGTGGAGAAAAGCAAGGTTTTGCATTTAGGCAGGAAAAACCAAAGGTACAAGTACAAAATAGGCGAAATCTGGCTCAAAAATAGTAACTGTAAGAGGGACCTTGGAGTCCTAGTAGACAATCACTTAACCATGAGCCAGCAGTGTAAGCCAGCAGCCAAAAAAGCTAATACAATCCTTGGTTGTATAAACAGAAGCATGGAATCAAAATCACGGGAAGTATTAATACCATTTTATAAATCATTAGTAAGACTACACCTGGAATATTGCATCCAGTTTTGGTCATCACATTACAAAAAAGATGTTGAGACTTTCCAAAAAAAAAGTGCAAAGAAGAGTAACTAAGATAATTAAGAGCCTGGAGACAAAAAGATATGAAGAATGATTGCAGGAATTAGATATGGCCAGTCTAGAGAAAAGAAGGACTAGGAGTGACATGATAGCAGTATTCCAGTATTTGAGGAGCTGCCACAAAAAGGAGGTCAACTTATTTTCCAAAGCACTAGAAGGCAAGACAAGAAACAATGGATGGAAGCTAATCAAGGAGAGAACCAACCTAGAACTAAGAAGAAACTTCCTAACAGCGAGAACAATTAACCATTGGAACAGCTTGCCTTCAGAAGTTGTGGGTGCTTCATCACTGGAGATTTTTAAGAAAAGACTGGACAGCCACCCATCTGAAAGGGTATAGGATCTCCTGCTTGAGCAGGCAGTTGGACTAAAAGACCTCCAAGGTCCCTTCTAGCTCTATTCTGATTCAGGATGCATCGTCATTCCTTCTCATGTGCTTAGCAATTAACACATAAGAGAAAACCATTTGGCTAATCACAGATAGGCAGGCACACAAAGTACAACAGCCTAATCAAGACAAGAATCTTTTTGGGATTCAGCTTCACTATACTGAATGTAGTGACTAGTTCAGATAGATAACTGAGGAATAATGTACTGAGTGCATGTAGCCTAAAGCTAACCGTTGTTATCAAACACCGACATATTCTGGGAAATTCTATTAAATTTAACTCTATGCATCAGATTGAACTAGAAAGAATACTGGTGAAGGAGAAAGTTCTTTATTTAACATAGGAGGAAAATATAATCCTCCAAATTTTGCTGAATGACATCATCCAGTATCCTTCAATACTGGCCATATTGTAATTCAGTAACCGCTCTGAAGGGCTACCATTCCTTATGATGATCCTGAAGGTGCCCATTTTTAACCTGAAA